TATCTATCTATCTATCTATCTATCTATCTATCTATCTTCTTTATCTCTCTTATCTCTCTATCATCTATCTTCTTTATCGATCTATCTTAATCTTCTCTATCTTCTCATCTATCTATCTATCTATCTATCTATCTATCTATCTATCTATCTATCTATCTATCTATCTATCTATCATCTATATCATCTATCTATCTTTCTTGTTTATCTCTATCTTCTCTATCTATCTTCTCTATCTTCCTATTTATCTTCCTATCTATCTATACCTCCCTCCCTCTCTTCTTTATCTGTGTCTGTCTGTCTGTCTGTCCGTCCGTCCGTCCATCCATCCATCCATCCATCCATCTCAATCAGCTGTTCCAGTTTCTTGCCTGCTATCCTGTCACACTGAACCTGGGTTTTTTTGGAACTGGAAGAGGTACTTTGCCTTGCAAGGGGGGCAACTGACAGAGAGAAGCCAAGGCAGAGGAGACTTTTATGTGTTGTTCTTATGCACAGTGAAAGCTACATAAAATAGGTACTTACAACAAGACCAGTTTTTACCTGGCGTGGTTTCTGCCTAAGAGAGTATTTATTTCTACAGAAAACTATACAATGGAGGGTTGCTGCAATTGGGTATGTCTAGTTCAGGGGTAGGCAACCTTGGCTCTTTGATGACTCGTAGACTTCAACTCCCAGAATTCCTGAGCCAGCCACGCTGACGGGCAAGGGAGAGGTTTCCAAGCTGAGCCATGCTGGCTCAGGAATTCTGGGAGTTGACGTCCACAAGTCATGAAGGGGCCATAGTTCTCCCATGCTGGCTCAGGAATTCTGGGAGTTGAAGTCCACGAGTCATAAAAGAGCCAAGGTTGCCTACCCTGGCCTAGATGATGGAGAATCTCCACAGTCTTATAGTTGCCAAGAATTCCTGAGCCAGCATGGGGGAACTATGGCCCTTTTATGACTCGTGGACTTCAACTCCCAGAATTCCTGAGCCAGCCAAGCTGAGGGGAAAGGGAGAGGTTTCCAAGCTGAGCCACGCCGGCTCAGGAATTCTGGGAGTTGAAGTCCACCAGTCATAAAAGAGCCACGGTTGCCTACCCCTGGTCTAGTTTAATGAAGAGAAGGACTAAGGGTGACAGGACATCAGCCTTCCACTATTTGAGGGGCTGCCACCGAAAAGTGGGGCCAAGCTATTCTCCAAAGCCCCTGAAGGCAGGACGAGAAGCAACGGATGGAAACGTATCACGGAGAGAAGCCAGTTGGAACTAAGGAGACATTTCCTGACAGTGAGAACAATTAACCAGTGGAACGGCTCGTCTCCAAAAGTTGTGGGTGCTCCCTCACTTGGAGATTTTCAAGAGAAGACTAGAGAAGTTCTTGTCCAAAATGGTAGAGGGTCTCCTGCTTGAGCAAGGGGTTGGATTAAAAGACCTCCAAAGTCACCAGTGGTTCAACATCCTTAAGGTTCAGCCTACGAAGGAACCCATCACCAACCAAATAACAATCCGACTTACAGGAAGAGGGGACGAGGCAGGGGGTACGTGAGGAAGGGTCTGTGCATGACCGAGTACAGGAACTTGATCATGTCATACAAGAAGTACCTGTGAGGGCTGCAAAAGAGAAAAAAAAAGAGAGAAAAGAAAATTGGGCAGACGTGAGATGAGAAATATGCAGTATAACAATGAGTTAAGAACGTTTGAGTACAGGTAGTCCTCGACTCAAAACTTAACAGTTCATTTAGTCACCGTTCAAAGTTGTAACGGCACCGAGACGAAGAGACTTACGACTGCGTTTCACACTTAACGACCGTTGCAGCATTCCCCCCAGGGTCACGTGATCAAAATTCAGACGCTTAATATTGTGTTATTAAGTAGATGATTTAACAGGACGGGAGATAGATAACTCTTAGGAACTAGAACAAGATCGTATTCAAATAGATAAATTAGGTCGTATTTTGGATATTGTAGTTTGTTACGAAGTGAGATAAGGGAAATTTGAGTTGCCCAAAGTCTGAAAATTATACATACCAAAGGTTAAATTGGAATATGGATAAGAAATAAAAAAACGGAGTAAAAATCAGTAACAGGATATGGATTGTTTATGAAGATTGAATGCAATTAAGATATGTATAAGCTAAAAATTTATTGATAAATGTAATAATGACGTTTTCATTGAGTGGGTGTAATTAGAAATGTACTAACCTGAATATGAGACAGTAAATGTTAAGGGAAAAAGAGAAGAAATATTTGAGGGTGTAACCTGAGATTTGCACTAAGATTTTGTTATTGAACTCTATCTATCTATCTATCTATCTATCTATCTATCTATCTATCTATCTATCTATCTATCTATCTATCTATCTATCTATTTATCATCTATCTATCTTCTTTATCTTTTTCTCTTTTATATCTATCTTCTTTATATCTTCTATCTTTTATATCTATCTTCATCTATCTCTATCTGTCTATCTATCTATCTATCTATCATCTCTATCTATCTTTCTTTCTTATGTCTATCATCTTATCTTTTTCTTTTTTATATCTATCTTCTTTATCTTCTATCTATCTCTATCTTTTATATCTATCTTCATCTATCTCTATCTGTCTATCTATCCATCTATCCATCTATCTATCATCTATCTTTTCTTTCTTTCTTATATCTATCTATCTATCTATCTATCTATCTATCTATCTATCTATCTATCTATCTATCTATCTATCTATCTATCTCTTCTTTCTTTCTCTATCTTTTCCTCTGTCTGTCTGTCTGTCCGTCCGTCCGTCCGTCCGTCCGTCCGTCCATTGGCAAACAAAATATTGCCTTGTTCTATTTACAGTATCTATTCCACTTGGGGGGGGGGCTGCCTTAGAGTCAGTCTTGAACTCCTGGCGATTGCCCAGCCATCTTTGATGGCAAGATTCCAGAAGTGGCTTGCAATGCATTGTCTGCTTTCTAGGGCTGAGAGAGACCGACTGGCGCAAAGTCACCCTGCTGGCTGTTTGCTCAAGGTGGGACTAGAATTCTCGGTCTCCCAATTTCTAGCCGGGTACCTTAATATTCGGCTGGCAGGAAAGTATCTCAGTTTAGGGCAGGGGTAGGCAACCTTGGCTCTTTTTTGACTCGTGGACTTCAACTCCCAGAATTCCTGAGCCAGCCACGCTGAGGGGAAAGGGAGAGGTTTCCAAGCTGAGCCAGGCTGGCTCAGGAATTCTGGGAGTTGAAGTCCACGAGTCATAAAGCGGCCTGGACCTAGGCCAGAGATAGGCAACCTTGGTACTTTTATGACTCGTGGACTTCAACTCCCAGAATTCCTGAGCCAGCCATGCTGAGGAGAAAGGGATTGGTTTCCAAGCTGAGCCATGCTGGCTCAGGAATTCTGGGAGTTGAAGTCCACGAGTCATAAAGCGGCCTAGGCCTAGGCCAAAGTTAGGCAACCTTGGTACTTTTATGACTCGTGGACTTCAACTCCCAGAATTCTTGAGCCAGCCATGCTGAGGAGAAAGGGATTGGTTTCCAAGCTGAGCCATGCTGACTCAGGAATTCTGGGAGTTGAAGTCCACGAGTCATAAAGCGGCCTAGGCCTAGGCCAAAGGTAGGCAACCTTGGCTCTTTTATGACTCGTGGACTTCA